AGGGGCTCTCATGCACTCTTCTTGCAAAATGGTTTCCGATCATTTTGTGTTCTATGCCAGGGATTGCTAGCTGGAATAACACTTGCACACTGTCTCTTGGTAAGTTTAGCTGTAGGGTTTTTCAGTTAAGGAGTATTATGTAGATATATGCTATTAAGAATGGTAGAATGATGTAAATAAGATGGAAATGTCCATATATGGAATACATATTATGTCTTCTGGAGTGTTTTTCTTTTTATTCCAGATTTTTCTTTTTAATGTGGAACCCATGAACCTGCCCAAAGTCTACACACCCAGGATGGCACATGTCTTCTATTCTTTGATAATTTTCCTGTCAACAATATGCTTTGTGGCTGCTTGTGACAGGTAAATGAAGGTTAATTTTATATAGGGTTACATAAAGAGGAAGACAAATGGGAGATGAAGAGAAAAAGATGAGAAAAATATTTGATTATTGCGAGGCAAAGAATTGCAGAAATTATCAATAGCCATTATGTAAATTTGTTTTATACTAGAGGTTAATCAAGGTTTGTCCACTATGCTGAAGTTAGGATTAGGAATTTTTCATGTTTCCTTTTAATTCTTGATTCTATGTGCATTATGAATGTTTAGTTAAAAAAGTACATAGCACATATTTACATACCTACTTATTTAAAAGCTTCTTTGTTTTGCAGGTGTGATCTTCGAGGAACTGGAGTGTTTTCTGGTCATGGCATTAGAGTACCCTGGACACCTGGGTTTTACCTTGCATCTTTGGTTCTGTCACTAGTTGCTATAAGGGCTGAAGATGCACTAACTCACTACCATCTTTATAAGGATGAAGCACTTCAGAAAGAGCAGGTACATATTCATATATATATTTTTTTTTTGTAATAATGTTATTGCCATTAATTTTTGTATGTTTACTTTTTTACCAAAGAGATTTTCAAAAAATATCAGCTGATGACAACTAATGAATAAAAATAATTCTTTATTCATTTAAACATTCCTCTGTGATGTACATATTCATTCAATGAGCATCAAAGCATGGTAATAGAAATAATAGATGAAATGTTATGAAAGAAATTTATTATTCAACATATAATTTTTTTCAATCACAGTATTATTCATATATATCATACAAATGTTTACTTACTTATTATGGTATTTTTCCTTTATTCTACTGTATGCCTACCATTACTCTTTTATTTTATCATCTCTTTTAATAGTTAGTGTATCATTCTTATCAGCTAAATATTTAGGCAAATGATGAAAGAAAATTAACCCATTCACATTGAGGTAACAAAGAACATGACTTCAAAGTTCATAATTGGGTGAAGCACTAGTACTTTAATTGTATGTGAAAAAGCATTTGTAAGTAATAAGTGAAAGTCTTTCTGGACCAACAGCACAATTAACCCAATGGCACTGGATAGCATGACCACATGCTAGCCTCAATTATTAGTCCTGCCTCTCTCACCTGTTTGTCCTTTTTCTTGATTATTGGAAAGACTGTTAATAATTATTATATTATTTGTATTGTTATTAGTATTTTAATAATATTATATTAATCATAATGTAAGGAATAATAACAGTATGGATATTAAATAAAATTGTGTGCAAAATGCAAATTCTTGGAATGGGGAAATCTGGCATGGTCACTAGGGTCTTCTAATTGACTCCCTGGTAGCTGAGCATTTGTGGATCCATCTTTGTGTGACAAGATTCATTAATAACTATTGTGGAGAGTACATAAACTTGCAGCCAGTGGGTAAGCCAAAGTTCCAGCACTGACTCAGAGGAGGTTATCCTTGCCAGCTAATTAAGCAGAGATACACAACGCTACTCAAGAAATGTATGAAATAGGATACTAGATCCCACAGGATTTATGCAGTCAGATGTAAAAGCAAACATCATGCAGTGCCTAGCTGCAATATTAGAGATTTATTTTGTATTGATTTTTTATGTTGATGTTGTTAGCAGCATTTTCATGATTTGTTATTCTTTGTATTTGTGTAAGAATATGCATTTAAGATATTACATTTGTGTGTGTGTGTGTGTGTGTGTGTGTGGTAGATTACTTCACTTAAAAATTGTTACCCTCATTTCTATATATCTTTTCTCAGATTGGAGATCTCATTGATTGGTGGAGATGGATGTGCATTACTCGGTCTTTGCTAGCTGTTTTGGCCTGGCTAGCTGTGGTGCCAGATCCCCACACTGATGCTCTTCTTGATTATTTGAAACTTCTCCAGCAGTGATATTGGCATGTGTGATGTAAAGACCAAAATATATTTCTAGTAATGACTGTGATAGCTCAGGTTCTTTGAAACCTGTATATACTATGTCAGGTCCAAATTTGGTGCATTGATGCATTATTTATGCGTTTCATTTTACTTCTATGATGTTCTGGATATTAAGTGAACAGGAGTGATCTGATAATCAAGCTAGCATGGTACATGACATGTACAGAGATTCTAAATAATCCTGTAGAAGTTAAGTGAACAACTGAAGTATATTT